CATAAATTAACAAAAATATTAAAATTTAATTCAATTAATTCATATAATAAATTTAAAATTTAAATTATAATAATTACAATATTTTTTATTTTCAAATTATGACTCACTTTACACCAAATAAAACCTAAATCACCAAGCATTAAATTGCAATATTCAAACCAAAATTATACCATTAGATTCCCATAAATATGCTAACCTTCCTGGTTTTGAAAATTTTTTTTTTAACTTTTTGTGAAATCAAAACAACCTACTTTGAAGAAAAAGGCTGATGGATGATATAATTAACAAGTTCAAACTTTAAATCGACAAAGATGATTTTGGGTAAAGGAGACAGGTTGGCAAAATGGCAACTAAATCAGACAATAATGATAAGAAAATCGACAGAGCAAGAAACATAAATCTCTTACATGTTATAATACCACAATGACAAAAATAACATTTGATTTGATCACGATCATGCTGCTTTTTTTTGTTTTTTGGTGGTAGCTATTTTACTTTATGTCTTTTTCATCTTATCAATATTTTATTGCAAACCCAAGTTTTAGATTATCTTTTACTTTTTTACATTAAAAGATGAGAAAATTTGAATTCAAAAAAAATTACATCGAAAGAAAAAAAAAAACTTATTCCAATCTAAAATTGACAGAGAAAATCGAGAATATTTGTTTAAATGGTATGGTTTGACATTTTATATTTAATTTAATGATCAATTGCATGTGTATTTTTATTTAAATTTATTTTTCTTTCAATTATATCCTTTTTACTTGTTTTAAAAACAATTTAGAGACATGGGAGGATAAAATTATGTTGTTAAATATAATCCATTAAATGTGATTTTTTAATTTTTTTCACAAATCTCAGTAATTATTTTTTTATATACAAATTATGATATCTTTTATATTAAAAAAATTATTTACAAACAAGAATCTCTCTATCATTTCCAACTGTGCTAACATTATAAAGACTTCATCCCTGTTCCTCAGAAAACAACGTGCTCCAAGCTCAAAGGTCACGCTAGCTAAGCATTTCTTACCCTTCAAGCAAAGCATCTGCAAAAGAAGTGAATTACCCCCGCCCCTTTCTTATTCTTCCCTATCTAAATTTGAATAAAAGATAAAAACAAAAAATTATTATTCTTTTATGTTAAGGATGGAGATTATAAATTTCACTGAACGAATTAAAAAATTAACACAGATTTTATAAAATATATAAATATTCATAAAAATAAATAATTAAATATAAACATTATAATATTTTAACTCCACTTATCATTAAAATTAGAATTAAAATTATCATTTAACACGCTATTAACAGGTCATAAAAATTATTATCAAATTTATTTCATCCTACATCACGTAAAATAATAATAATAATAAAAAATCATATGCCCGTAAAAGAAAATAAATTAATAAAATAAGCGGATAACTAAGGGAAATGGAGCAGTGCTTTACAGTTCATGGTACATGTGCCGCACATTTCCCAAAAAATCTGCCTCGAAATGTGCTTCCTTTCATACCATAGCAGATAATTCTTTTTCTTTTATGGAGCCAGATAATATTACATTAAATTAATATTATTTTCTGCCTAAAAATAATCTTATTTTCTTTCAAGCTTTTTTTTTTTTTAAATGCTGACCAATTATATTGTTTTAAAAAAATTTATTAAAATAATTAATAATCATATTTACATTATTATAAAAAATACCATAAATAACATTTTCGTTGATAATTATCTTACCTTCATAATTTGGCGGCGAACCATAAATAAACGGCTAGATCCCGCGGTAAAAGGCAATTAAATGCCACTTGACGTGATCACAATATCCAGTTGGGCACCGCCAAAGGAACCTGATAGGCACACTTCGGAGCAGATAGATAGGAATGCGTTGATGCACTTGAGGATCACGATGGACATCAACCAATAATAGATGGCCACGTATGTAGGGCTCGTGATTTTTTGGCGGAACAAGCGCGGCCAGGCTGGCGAGCATTACGGCCGAGTCGGCTTTCGAAAGAGCAATGGGACAGTGACACGTGTTTTCAGTAAAAATCGGTGGCTTGGGTTTGAGGCGGTAAACGCGGAGATTGAGTCCAATCGAGCGAAGCTTCTTTGGATAGGCTTCGAGGAGACAAAGGTTTGAACATTGAAGTTTGGCAATGGGCAACATGATAAATGGAAGACTTATCCAAAAAAAAAAAAAAAAAGGTAAATCAAATTGATGGAACTATTAGAAACGCCTATGTTTTTTTTTTAATAAAAATTTATATTAAAATATTTTAAAAATTAGGAAAATAAATAAATCCATAAAATAAATATTATCATATTTATGTACAAAATATAAGATGTAAATAAATCATGTTTCAAAGTTTTATTGATTATTAATTTTTTTTTTTTAGAATAATTGATTATTATATTGTATTTAAGTTTAATTGAATTGGTCTCAAATGTGAGTTGCATTAGTCTCGTACTGGAATCATTTAGAGTTGAAAATGATTTGTGTTTGAATTATCTTGAATAAATTTTATTTTCTCTGTTTTTTTTTTTTGCTCATTATTTTTTCATAAATGTCTAAAAATTATGTCTGATTTTATTTTTTAGAAAAACATCTAAATTTTTTTAATTTTTTCATTAAAATCATGAAATTTTAATTTTATAAAAAATTTAAAAATTTAATATTAAATATATTAAATTCAATTTTTTTATATTTCGTGAAAGTCAATACATGATGAATATTTAAGGAGGAAGGAGTAATAAATTTTGTTTAAGTTTAGAAGAGTTTGAATTAAAATTTTTTTTTTAATATTTTACCATCTTCAATAATAACCCATTTTGTATGAAGAATAGAATCTAAACTTTTTATTAGATTTTATAGAATCAATAAAATCCCTAAAAACCTAGCTATAAACATACCTTTTTTCATGTCAAAATTATTAACGTGTAATACGTGTTAACAATGAGCATCAAGCAATTGTTTTTATGGGTATCTTTAAAATGTTTTTCAAGACAAGAACATAAGAATATGGAGAAAAAAGGATGGAAAGGGTGTTGATCATTAACATTTTGTTTTTCTTTTTGGTGGTTGAACATCATTTTGAACACAAATAGAATTAGAATATTGACAGATTCCAAATGTCTCTTGCAACTATTGTACTACTAAATTTGATGCCAATTCATTTATATCTTTTGAGTGAAAAAAGCAAATGGAGAGTACAAATACCATCCTCATCACCCACAAAAATATATAAGAAATAGATAATCTTTTAAGGTAGGATTCATGCTAGATTTATTTATAAAAGTTGATTGGATCTAACTATTTAGAATCTAGTTTTGATTTGAATTTATTTGATTGAATTTGATTTAATTAATTAAAATATAATTTCGATTTGAATTTGTATGATAAATGTAAATTTTGAAACTTAATCTATACTCTTAACCCGTATTATGTCCTTTTAAGTTGTACAAGTTCGAATTAGAATTAATTAGACAAAAATTATGATATATTATTCAGTTATCATTGTTCAAGATATCTTTTTATGAAAATTCAATAAGGAGCTATTGTAATCAAAATTCAATTAAATTTGCTTGTTTAATGCAAACATACAGGTATTGTGTAAAATGTCTTAATCCATTCTAACCTGTGTTTCCCAGTTGCAAACATCAAATTGGAGTAGAAACTTATTTGACTAAATGGCCTTCAATTCAGACCTTTCAAAATCCCTAATGGATCTGACTTTTCGTGACCTGTTTGGTGCAATGTTAGATAACTTTGTTTGTTTGCCAAAAAAAAAAAAAAGGGTTTTTTGGGGAGCTTTCAAGTCAATTAAGAAGGTGCGCTGCTGTCATTTTCAATTTAACCAAACAAAAAATAGCCGGTAAATTTGAAGGTTTTTTTCCCCCGTCGAAGGTGGTTAACCGACAATGGCATAATCGTAAATAGTTGATAATGATAGGCGTAATTTTGGATAAATTTGCGGTTGGCATTTGACGTTGTCTGTTTGTGAAAAAAATGAGGAAGCATCCCATGAATCGTATTGGAATAATTGTTCAATTTTGGTAAAAGATCCGCTACAACACTGCTTATTAATTTAATCATAATCTCATTTAGCAATTTCCGACTTCTCATTTAATATTATATTTTGCTTGACTTACTAATTTTATTCTTCTTCTTTGAATGTTAATTTGGCATAAAGCTTGTGTTTTGGACAAATTTGATAATTTCATTATAAGAAATCATGGTAAAGATGTATATAATTATTGACTAATTATATCAGTAATGGTAGACCCAATTAATATATTTGTAAAATTCAATTATTAATGTTTGGTTTGTGATAAATATTTTTTTTTTGTAAAAAATAAAAAGAAAAAAATAGAATATTTATCCAACGAAATTTAATTCGTTTGTTATTATTTTATGTTTTACGTTTTATATTTTAAAATTTTTATTTTGTTTTATTTTTAATTTATTAAATTTGTAATTTATATACAAAAATTTTAATATATCAAGAATTGAGAATTGAGATGGATTCAAATAATCGACGATTTTACTATAAATATAAAAAAAAGTGTAGTATCCCAGAAAGGGTTTAAAAGGTAGTAAAATTAAAAAGCAAGTGGCAGAAGATGATTGGTGGTGAGACAATTGGATAAGCTAAGTAGAAATGTAGTTGATCAACTAGGCTTAGCGGACTTTAATTGAACACGTCAGAAACAAACAAACGACCAAAGTCCAACTTCCAACTTGGAACGCTTCACTTCGACTTTACCGAAACACCCCATGAGAAGATTCCGACACGAATTCCTCTTTCCTTCCCACCTAGACAACACCCCTTCTCTGTTCCAACGTTTAGTCTGAAATCAAAATTTGGATAAGCTTCAAACTTTTTTTTCATTTTTTTTATTTTTTATTTCCCCCACAAAAAAGAAAAAAAAAATCCAGATTCGTTTTTCTTTCCACACGCCTTTTTTCTATTCACCCAAACGCCCACGTTATAAATACCCAATCTCTCTGCATTTTCTTGTTAAGAAAATCTCAAACCTGAAAATCCCAAAAAAAAAAAACGAAATTTTTTTTCTTCATTTGCAGAAAATGGTTGATTTAGATTGGAAAGCAAAGATGGTTTCTTCCGATATCCCAAACAAATCGTCAAAACTCTCTGATAAAATCCAAGTTTCAATTCCGATGCCGTTTCGCTTCTCGAATATTTCATCTCCGCTTTCCACCTCCGCTTCGGCTTCCTCTGCTTACGACTATTATCTTCGGTTACCTGAGCTGAGAAAGTTATGGGAGACAAGGGAGTTTCCAGATTGGCAAAATGAGCGAGTTTTGAAGCCGGCTTTGCTCGCTTTGGAGACAACTTTCCGGTTTATTTCGATTGTTTTGTCAGATCCTAGACCATATTCGAATCGTCGTGAATGGACGCGCCGACTCGAGTCACTCACCACGAGTCAGATCGAACTCATCGCTATGCTGTGCGAAGATGAAAACGAGGACAAAACTGCCGCAGGAACTGCTCCGATCGTCGATCTGACTTCGTCAAACGGAGTACTAAGACGTGAGAGCAGCTCCGCTGAGGTGTGGAAGATTGACGGAGAAACGACGGTGGTGAACCGAACCAGTGAAGCCAGCTTACTGCCTCGACTGGCCACGTGGCAGAAATCCGAAGACGTCGCACTGAAAATCCTCTACTCCATCGAGTGCGAGATGAGACGGTGTCCGTATACTCTAGGTTTGGGAGAGCCGAACCTATCCGGCAAACCGAACCTCGATTACGACGCCGTTTGCAAGCCGAACGAACTTCACGCGCTTAAGAAGAATCCGTACGATCACATCGAGAACCACGAGAACGCGACGCTTTACACTACGCATCAGATTCTTGAGTCGTGGATCCAAACGGCGAAACAAGTATTGAAACGCATCGTTTCGAGAATCGACGCCGAAAGTTTCGAAGCCGCCGCCAGCGATTGTTATTTGATGGAAAAGATCTGGAAGCTTCTATCCGAGATCGAAGATCTCCATCTCTTAATGGACCCTGGCGATTTCCTTCACCTGAAAAGTCAGTTGCTGATAAAATCGGTCAGCGAAACGGAAGCGTTTTGTTTCAGATCGAAAGGGTTGGTTGAAATTACGAAAATGTCCAAGGAGTTGAAACATAAGGTCCCCCTTATTTTGGGCGTCGAGGTGGATCCAAAAGGTGGGCCCAGGATTCAGGAAGCTGCGATGAGATTGTACGCTGAGAAGCAGGAGGTTAATAAGGTCTTTTTGCTACAAGCTTTCCAAGCCATCGAAGGTGCCTTGAAACGGTTCTTTTATGGGTACAAGCAAGTGCTGGTGGTGGTTATGGGGAGTTTGGAAGCGAAAGGGAACCGAGCCGTGGCGAGTTCCTACTCAGGTGACGCATTGAGTCAGATATTCTTGGAGCCTACTTATTTCCCTAGTCTGGATGCGGCTAAGACCTTTTTGGGCGAGTATTGGGGTCACGAACAGGGTGGGTCTGGGTTGACTCGGTGGAACAAGTGATGACGACTCGGGCCAGTCGTTTGATTGGGAACTTTAGTTTGGTATAAAATATATTACAGAAATGAAAAAGAAAAAAGATTAATTATTTAAAATATATTACAGAAATGAAAAAGAAAAAAGATTAATTATTCTTTGTAGTTTTGGGAGCAATTATTGTTTGTATGCTGTAAAATTTTTGTACACTTCATATTCTTGTAAAATGGAAATTCATGTACCCTGTTATTATAAAAATATTTTTTATTAAAAAAATCAGTCTTAAGAAATTCATGATCCATTGCCAACTCGAAGAATTAAATCAATACATTGCATGTGAAAATTGTCGACAAACAGACATGGAAGACCAGTTCAATCAACTGATACAAATGGATAACAGTTAATACAACAATATGGCACTGAAGTTGGGGCAATTATAGCACAACATTGTTGAAAATTTATGGTTTTGGTCATACATAAACGTGGTTTCACATTTGAAGTAGTGTCTGCCATGTAGGAAAGATAGTGGATTATATGATCTTGTTCGTGTTCGGGTCAATGGAATTGCTTCATCTCTTAATGGAGAAAACAAGCTATTTTGTGCCAAATGAATGATGAATTCACATGCCTCCAGGCTCCAGCTTCTGAGGTTTTCAGGCATGGATTTGTTCAACTTTAGCACAACTCTGCTAGTAAAACTTCACTCCAGTGAGTCTAGTTAAACAGCTTCTGGTTCTGGGTATCCAATCTAAAGAGCAAAGCCCAAAATCAGTTTGGAAATGTCAAGGAAACTCGATACCTAGCTCCTTCTCAATCATTGAAACATCCCATTCTTTATTCATGGTTTTCAATCCAATGCATGGTCAAACAGCAACGTGTCTCTGATAGTTTTTGTGACCTTTTGCCAAGTGTAACAGAAAAAACCTGCCGTTTATATTTTGTTTCCAGGTTCCAAGCTCCTTATTCTGCTATTTTACAGCTCATGACTCGGAACTGAACCGCCTAAAGCTGATGATATACTTGATCATCACCCTATATCAGCAAACAATGAACTTAACCCACGTGGTATAACCCCGACCACCGAAAATCACGACCTTGGACAACCAGTACTAGAAAGGAAACTGGTGAAAAGAGTTTTGTAGTTTTTTTTTTTTTTTGAATGATTCTTCCATTCACAATCTATTCTTTTTAAGGAAACCCCAAATGATTTAGAATAAGCAGTGGTGAGAGCCTTTGCATCTTTAATTTCATCTGATGTCAACCCAAAGATTTTGATTTCTTCTCCTTCTTCTTCCCAGCAAATATTCACATCCTGGTAAGCTTTTCAATCTTTTTTCCCAATATTTTTCCTTCTTTTTTTCTCCATGAAAATTGCTTCTTTTTTAGTGGAAGAAAAATGTCCCATGTGGAGATTGTCATTTGTTGTCTTGACTTTCAACAGATTTGGTTTTATCAAAACTTTCAGGTTGGATTGCATTAAAAGCAATAGCAACTTGTAGGGGATCTGATTTTGGTTTAGATTGTATCATATAGAAAACAAAGTTTCAACTCTTGGCACCTTTCTTTACACGGGAATCATGGGACTTTTGTGTTTCGACCAATTTCCCTATTGCTTCTCTTTTTATTGTTTGCCAGCTTAAATCCCTTCATTGCTTTGATAGTGTTTTTCTGGTTTTTTTTAATCTTCGTTTAGCAGATTGACACCATATTGAGGTATGGAACTAAATTTTGCAACAAAGACTTTGCAGATGCCAATGCTCAAAATCCCACAAGAATCAGCCTCTTTAATCTCTTCTGTATGGTTTGCAACTCCTGGTGGATGCAGCAGCCAACCCTTGGCCTATTGCTGGGTTCATCCTTCTGCTACTCTTTTCAGCTCAAGAAAGTTTAAAGGACATAACCTGAAACTTGCTCGCTGTGCAAGATGCTATGATTTCTCCCATGGAGAACTCTCGAAACAGATTGAAGGAGAGGTCCAGCCATTTGAAGATACCAATACCAATGATGTAGAGAACAATTACGAAAAGGGCTGTCAAAAGGTCATAAAAATGAATTCTTCAATGCAGCTTTTACCATCAAAGGTTGAGTTTCCTGACCCTAGTTTGCTTGGAATCTGGCCGGATACGCCGGATTGGCCTGAGAGAGATGAGATTCATAGGATTAGAATTGAGCAGAAAGCAAATAGTTTTGGTATTCCCCTTTCTCTAAGGATCATAAAGAGAAAGCAAAGATGGAAAGAGGGTTTTGTGGATGCAGGAGAGTTTGCATACTGCTCTGTTAAAAAGGCTGTTTCTTCACTAGTATTTATCATCAGAGAGCTACAAAACCACGCATTGGTTATAAGGGAGGGTCTATACTGTGAAGATTTACTGGAGATTATGACCAAGATGCAAAGAGACATGAATTTAACGTTTGTATGGCTATTTCAACAAGTGTTTTCAAAAACACCCACTCTTATGGTCTATGTGATGCTTCTTTTGGCTAATTTTTCTGTACATTCTATGACTGATAATGTTCTTGTTGATGCTACCCAACCAAGATTCGCTCAAAAGACTATGCCGGCAACCATGTCCATTCTAGAGGAGGAGAGTGAAGAATATCCTAATGCTGTTGCTGATGAGATAGCAGAAAGTTCTTTTCTTGAAAAGGTTGATGATGAAGAGTTAGACTTATGGAAGTCAATGGTGGAGGAGGCTTCAAGAATGCGAGGAGAGCTATATTATAAGGTTCTTGATCATAAGATTAGGCAACAGTTGGTGTCTCCTCTACATGTGCAGCTCGAACCAGACAACTATGAAATGCATCTAAGAACGAACCTCATTTACCAGATGTTTGTTACTGAGGAGCCAAATAATCCTCTTCTGCTCTCAAATTATGCTCAGTTTCTTTCCCTTGTTTTCAAGGACCATGACAGGTAAAATTTACGTTCCTCTTATTTAATTTGTTATTGTGTTCAAGCTCTTTGCATCATTCTTAATCCTTATCATTCTAGCATAAAAAAAGAATTCTGTGGGAGGATCTTATGGACAAATTGACAGGCAATCTAGTTCATTTACTGCTAGTAGCAGATTACTAAACTTTCGCAACTCTTACCGGCTTCAGGAAATGAAAATAGCTTGCTGATTTTGTTCACTTGTCAATCTTTGGGATCATACAGGGCTGAGGAGTGCTTCAAACGTGCTATTCAGGCAGAACCCCAAGATGCTGAGGCATTGGGGCTATATGCTGACTTCTTGTGGCAGGTGAGGAATGATCATTGGGAGGCAGAAGAAAGATACTTACAAGCAGTTGCAGCTGACCCCCAAAACCCTTTCCATGCATCCAAGTATGCCAATTTCCTTTGGAGCACTGGTGGTGAAGGAACCTGTTTTCCTCTCAGCTCTTCTTCTTATGACACCGACAATAAAATTTCTTAATCTAAGATCATCTTAATAGCAATAAGTTTTTTCTGGGTTGTTGTTCATCTGATATTAGTGTATCATATCACAGGCAAATACCCTAAAATATGTCATCCTGTGATCAATGCAGTCAATCAAATATCTAAGAAGATAGAAACTAGTCCTCAAGAATTTGTGCACAAAGTATATGCTCAAAAATGCGATGCTTTTGGAACTAAACATGTAGAAGTCATGTAGTCTCTAATGGGGACAAACCTGGTATGATATTGAAGGCTACTTTCAAATTTTTTGTTTTAACTTCGCCAAAAAACTCCTTATTTATATGCATATACACTTAATATGAGTTCATTTAGATGGGGATACTGAGGTAATGCTGAGTATTAATTTGCTACTTCAACTATAACCCTTGCAAAATCTTGGTCTAATTTCAGCGGCAAATGTTAAAACTTTTTTTAGTTTACTGTGTTTAGAGATAAAGAGTGATTATCCGCTTTACACTGTACAGGCTTGTGGCCAAGACATTTCTATGAGATCACTATGTAAAAACTTAATAATACATCTGGAGAGAATGAAGCAGATGAGTTTCGAACTCATTGTCCTCAACCAAGTTATTTTAATTCGCTTCTCCATACACGTTTCAAAAAACAAGTCCAATCTTTCTTCATCAAAACACTTTTGATCTTAGAAGTTAAGGCATTTTCTAATTTCAATCCTAAACAATTAAACTTTGTTTCTCGGTCATGACCTATTTAATCTGCAACATAGTCAGAAAAGAAATAGTCAACAGAAGTGAGAATGCCATCTTAAAGTGATGAACTTAATTAAAGGAGATCACATATTGGAGATAGAAAAAGGTTAGGCTGTAGTAGGCATAATGATTTTTATATTTGTTTTATATAAAATATTAAAATTTTTATATACATATCATATTTTATATGAAAATTATATTACAATTCGTTGAAAATATAAAATAATTATTTTTTATTTTATTAAATTTATACATAATAATTATTAAAAATTTAAATTATATTATTTTTATATTTTATTTTTATATAATATTTAAAATTATTAGATACAGATTATAGAGATGATCTTGATTTTAACAATAATTATTGTCAAAATCTTGGCTTTGTTTATCTTGGCGTAGAGTTCAAAAAGGGTGGTCTCCCGATTGATTTATCTTGATTATGAAAGGCTTGGTCCAGTCAAGGCAATGCAGCTGGAAAGCTGAAAAAAAAGGTTAGTGGGAGGAAATTTAATGTGATTTTTTTTTTTTTTTTGACAAAAGAAACGTTTTGGTCAACTAGAAAAAGAAAGCTTTCCCACTGTCTTGATTATGATGGAGGATGAAGATTAGGGAAGGGATTTACTTTGACAAATTTGTCTCAAATTTTTAAAAGAAAATATAATTTGCTATCGTTTTCATAAATATCTTCACTTTCTACAGTTTTCTAAGAAGAGATAATCATAATACTCTCTATCTTCGACGCTAAACCTCTTCGGCTATCCTTATCCCGTAATCAAACAGATATAATTTTTAAAAAAAATTTTAAATCGTCTTATTTAAAATTTTTTTTTGTATACTTTTATATCGTAACATCATAATTAAAATTATCATATCACATCATAATTAAAGTTATCTAAATCTGCCTGATTTCCTCCACATTTTTGTATGTTCTGGAAGCTAATTATTGTAATATGATTTTGCTGGCTATAGCTAGTTTGGAATATTGTAAAGCATCTACAATGAATGGGAAAAGAACATTTCATAAGATCTTCGGAACCAAGAGACTGGATATGAATCCGTTACTACAACATGATTCCAAGGCATTAATCTTATAAAACAGAACAAGTAGAAATCTCAGATGCCGAATACCGTGCTGTTATACGTGGTAAGAATACTAGAAGATCAGGCTACAAGAGGCACAGGGCAAAACAGCTCTATCCTCAAAACATATAAGCTACATAAAATTTCCTATATTATACAGCTGGAGAAAAAAAAGATGAGTTGGAATAATTTCAACTGCTGATTGAGCCAAAAGAGTGGAAAATTTGAAATCGAAATGCAGTGGAATCTCCAGCATCACCAAAACCAAGCATTGCGGCTGTCAACGGCCTTCATAGAAGTCGGTACTAAGGGCATTCGCCCGAACTCGGCGACAAACTTGTTAATACATTCAGTTCTTCTTTCACTATGCCCTCCCAAGCTGCTGATGCCAGTTGAACCAATCTCAAATATTTTACCTACGATTAGAGCAACAGTATTTAATTGAATTGTTTTAACATTATAATGACGTAAAACATGCAAAGCTTGCTCGTAATGTAGTAAGCAACAACCAGGTTATCAAAAAAGCACTCTTAGGTGGACAAAGCAAGGAAATAATACACAAAATAATGATTTCAATTCAAACCAGTGTGCGATTAAAATTTCTTTCCAGAAATAACGAAGGACAGACTAGTCAGAGACCACTAAGGGTACATAGCAAGGCTGCCACACCATCATCTTCAAGCATCTGGAAGAGAGTACTCAAGAAAAGCATCCTTTTGAGAGATCAAACAAAAGGAACATAATTACTTGCATAAATCTTTAGCATTCATTTGCCAAAATGAGTTGAATTCATTTCTATACATAAATCTCACTCATAGAGCTTCTGTAGGTTTAGAAGTATAGTCTAAAAGACCAGAGTTCCTAATGGCAAACATCATCTTTATGGATTGCTACTTACTTGTCGTGTGTCTACTCTGTCACAGCATATGGATTGCTACTTGATGCCTGATGATTTGCTCTATGGAAGAACAATCCAAAACTGACTTCAATTTTTCACCTTTAGTCAATGTGGTGTTAACTTTCTTTCCATGTTTTAAAGTTTCTTTTTTATGCATGCTTCGAATCATTTTCGCATATGGAACATTAAGCTCACAGAAGAGAAAGAAAATTACAGTATATGATGAAGACTCCTTTAGATTTACCTTTAACCCATATAGGAGGAGCACCTGTAGCATTTGCAACAAGAAAAGACATTGCAATATCTTCACAATTCCTGGAGAATCAAGGCTAGGAGTTTGTATAAAAATAAACATTTAACATGCATAAAATGATGAAACCATTTAAAAGTCTGCGATATTAGTAAATAAAAAGGGACCTGTTCGTGGTTATGTATTCTTTAATTGATGCAGGCATCTCATCAGTGTAAAGTTTGAGATACTTTTTGTGGAGGAAGGCAGCCTTTGAGAGTATCATGCTGTAACTACCAGTCCACCAAACAGACCACCATCCACCATATATGTATTTATCCTTGCCTTTCTGCATATAGATATACATGAACAAATTAAGAACGTATTTTTGACTAATTTGGATATTTTGCTCGCCAGGAGGCTTGTGATCCTCAGATTTATGCCAACAAAGAAAAAGGGTTTCAAGTATAATCTATACTAGTGCCGGCATTCAATCAATTTGCTGATACCAAGTCAAAGTGTATAAACTTTATTAAGTCTATAAACCAAATAAAAGTTTCAAGCAATTCTAAGCTTCATTTATGATCTCATCCATAAGGCATAACAATATTAAAATACTGAGAAAGCTAAAGCTTTGTTTTGTTTGTAGATAATATAGTTTTTACTTTCTTTTATGTTAATGTGTAACCATCAGCAAGGCCATTAACACTGGAACTCTTATCAATCCATGCAGATGCAGAGAAATGGAAATAAACTGAAATGGAAACTTCAAGATCTAACACATTAATTCAGACAATTAGAAGTATGAGTGTAGACTTTTAGTCAATGCTTAAAGTATGATGTTAAGTTAAATGAATGTCTTCATCTAAAACAGAGAACAACAACAACTAACATGAAGCTTGGTGCCAGAAATAAGCATATTTCTAATCACATGTCTGAAGTCTGAAACTCTATGACCATAAAACTTACCAAAGGAAACTGATAACAAAAGGCTACAGCAATACTAATATCGAAATCAACTGCAATAAATTATTAAAACCAAGAATGCAAGATAGCTGCATACCTTTTGATCTAGCCAATGCATACGGGGAACATATCCCACCATTGTATCTGGGGCACTTTGCCAAACAGTGAAAGCAAATTCAACCGAAGAGCAAGGAAATATAACATCATCATCAATCGAAAAAATAGCATCCGTCTTCAAATCCTTAATTTCTTTAAATCTGTTGTTCAAGCTATCTTCCTTATTGATATCAAATATCAACTCAACTTGCTGACCCTTTCTAGAGTTCAACTGTAAAAGATAGTTAAGAAATCTTTTAAGAGAATCCGATGGAGGATCAGGCTCACTCCATACAATATGTATAGAATCAAGCCTAGGACATGTCGCATAGTGTGAAATCGACTTCCTCAACAGATCATATCTTTTCCAAGTATTCATTACAATTGCATATCTTCCCCTGTACAAAAAAGATTACACAACCCAGCAAAAAACATCACCTTTTTATCATCAAATTCGGAAAATTTGTCTACAAATGGCTCAAGTATATTTCAATTTTCTAGTCCAATATCAATCATTTCTCCATATTTTTAGTAACATTTTAAGCTCAAATTGATTGAGTTCAAGATCTTTTTTTTTTTTAATAAATATCTAAACAGAATAAACACTCAACAAAATTTAAAGCTTTAAATTCTAAATTTGAATTATCAATCACTTATCAATATTTTAGTAATATTTTCGTTGCCAAAAAAACAAACTTTTTAACGACGTTTCCTCTTTTCTACGTCCAAACTAGGAGATTAGTCAACAAAAATCGAAAGAAAATTCAATAATTTATCTGATCTAAACTTAAATAATTAAAATATATAGAAGATTAAAAGTTCAGAGAGATTGATTACGAAACGAACCGTGGTGAAGAAGAGAGATCGAGCGAAGCAACGTCACCGGTCCATCCCATCAACGAAGAAGAACCGTCGCGGTTTCGGTTAGCGACTGCGAGTAGAGTTAACGCGACGCAAGCGCAAAGAAGGATCTTGATCTTAACCCATCCAAGCGTCGCGAACCCAACTTGACGTAACTTGAAAACCGCTCGACGGTTAATCGGTAAACCGCCTCTCATCACCGTCTATCTTTTTCTCACTCTCTTCTTTTTGTTTTTGGACTGAGTCGGTCTGAACTCGGAGGTGTGACTCTGAATGGAGCCCGAGTCACGCAACGGAATTTTTCATCCGATTATTATTTATTTAGTATTTATATATTTTGGCTCCACACGATGTGGGGGACGTACGGTACTCGCCGGTGAAGAGGAGGGAAGCGGGGGAAATGATAGGGTGTGGTAAAGTGTCGGAGGTTAAGGAAGTTGAGTCCCGTAAAATGGATTTAAGGTGAAGACGTGGAGGGATACTATTTGTTTAAACTTGGCGTTGATGTGGTCTTGGTTTTTCATGTCCTTTGCAATGTTCGTACGATTGATTTTTTAGATTTCTCAGATCATAAAGGAGAGAGAAATGATTCAGTGATGTGCAACGTAGAAATAGGAAAGTTTTTTAAACCGTTCGATTTAATCGGACGATCAGTTATGGTCCTTGAGGTTAACTCCGAAACAGTTGTGATTTAGCCAGTGGGGCCTACCCAGTCGGCCAATACTTTGATTTTTTTGGTTTTTCTCTTTCTCTCCGTCGAATATTCAAAAGGTATGAAAATTCCTTTTTTTTATTCTTTTCTATTTTTTTATATTTTTTTACCAAAGTTTTCAAAGTTAGCAATTTATGGATTTTATTTTATTTGATATTTTCGTTTTCATGATTTTATTTTAATTTAGTCCAATTTTAAATGATAATTTCAGTAAAATTGAAATTTCATTCCCACCGATTAAATTTTCATTCCTCAAATTTCCTTAAATCTTAGCCTACTATATAAAAAGAATAAAGAAAGTGCCCATTTCCTTTCACATCTATATAATTTGTTGAAAACAGTTCCCTGGGTTTGGTAAATGACATCTGACCATTTATGATTGGTTAATTTTATTTATTTTATTTAATATTTATTTTGAGAGTTTTTTTTTTTACTTATTTAATTGTTTAATAACTCTTTAATTATATAACATAAAAAATTAACTGTTCATATTTGGTTTTGAAGGCTAAAACAGTGAAATACAAGTTTCATATTAAGTTACTTTTTTTCTTTTATTGACATAAAGAGCGTGCCTTTTCATGCTGCTTTTTCATACTTTTATTTTCTTAAAATACAGACTATTTGTTTAATATTGTAATGATTTAATTTCTAATCACAAAAATTAAAATTTTAACATTACATCAATTTTCTTATAAAAATTTTATTTTGGTTATAAATTTTTATAAAAAAATTATAGTTAATTGAAATCATGTAAGAAAGTTGGGCTCATCTTTGATGTTGATGGCAAGCAACCCACCAACGAAAATAATGATGCAAATAAGGGGATGCCAAGAATATTGACAATGTATGGAATTTTGGGTGTAACCATTGAAAAAATTGAAATCAGAATCAAATAAACAAAAAAATAAATTCATTTTAATCCAAATGATAAGGAGTTTGATTTTTTTTAAATAAGATCTCGATTTTAAGTATTATGAATAAAAAAATAAATTTGAGATAACTTATTTTTTTTTATAAAGTTTAAATCGATTCAATTTCGGATTAATCGATATCCAAAATAACTATAAATCCCAGACAAAAAAAAAAAAAACAAATTCATTTTTCAATGTAAGATACAAGAAAGAGAAGAATTCAAGTTTTTACACCTGGAAGAGAGTTACTTGCTTTGGAGGAATTAAGCTGCTGTTTGAAAGAGACAATTTTGTGGATTTTTTTGAGGATGAAGCTTTTGTTCTTACCTTAAGGCTTGAACTAAGTTGTTTTTGACCCATTAGAAGATGTGGGTTTAAAATCCTATGCCCAAATCAAATTTGGGCTTCTATCATATGAGATAAAACTCCTCATCTTCTGCTTGAATTCATATTCCTATAATAATCTTGTAATTAACTAATCAGAATATAAAAATTTATCACTTATAAACATGGATTCTGTATAAATTTTACTAAAATTTATATAATTTTAAATTATAATTAATTATAGTACTGTAGATTATATATTTTATATAGGGAGAGTCGAGTGATTAAAAACTTAAAATTTCATTGAAAAGATTTAAGTTCAAATTAGGATTTAGTCAATTTATGAAACGGAAATGATTAAGCCTTAGTTTAGATTCTACCGCAAGTGCAGTGTGGCAGTTTAGATTTTATCGCAAGTGTAGTATGGTATGATTGAATTTATCGTATTATCAATTGAATTCACGTATTAATTTCAATGAAATTCAATAGAATAAATTTATCATTAAATTTTTTTTAATAATAATTATAATAATTTTTTTTATCACAATTATATTAATTATTATTATTTTTAATTTTATTGTCCATCTAAATGAAACCTAATTCACATTGTTTAATTCAAAACTCTCAAATATAATATATATATATATATATATATTATCCCAATTTTAATTACACCAGGCAACTCAAATTTATCTATATTTAGTTTTGCTAGCAATTGAAGTAATGATAGTTTGAATTTTCAACTGACAAACTACAACAACGGCTAACAGTTAAATTGTTCAATGAAATTCAATGACCACCTAGTTTGCTGGTACTCTGTTTCTCGGGATTCTGGATTTCTTATATATTTCAGAATCAGAGACGAAGAATATTAAAGGATTTAAAAAAGGTATTATTTCCAAATCTTAACTTCTTTAAATCCTCAAGTTTTTATATAATAAGGCCCAAATTTAATTATCTCTATGAAAGAGGAAATGCATTCCATAAAGATTTAATTTTGACTGACCAAAAAAAAAAAAAAGAATTTTGGCCTTTATGATTTATTCAGCTTTTTTTAGTTTCAAAAGCATGCTTGAAAATTTCATTAGGAAAAAGACTTTTACACCTACTAATTTCTAATTGTTTGTGCGGAAAATAATTGCCGTCTTAGGTCATCAGCAGCCATTTTGTGAGGCTATATGATTAGGCCAGACCAACAACATAAGCTGTGGCCTTAATTCAACAGGCGGTTGGGTTGGATAATCTTATCCTAATTTTAAATAATATTTGTAAAAGCGACCAATAATATTTTTTAATTACATTTGGGAATTGGTTTTTGTGGTTGATTTCCATTATATGTTTTTTTTTTTTGGAAATGGTAGCACTTTAGTTAGTAGATTAACATAAATTATATATGTTCTCAATTGAATTGTATACATCATCTATAGCCGGTGGTCTATTAATAATATATAAATCCATCCTTTAATGAATCTATTAGTATGGGTCCTAGCCATGATAAGATATTAAAAAAGAAAAATTAATCATCTTAATTTGTGATTATTGGCCAATTTTAATCAAGAGAAAGCAAAGGGATCAAAATATTTACTAAAATTCATTTTTTTATTTTAAAAAGATATTTGAATCTTCTATTTGAAAAATTAAAAAATTGAAAAATATATATTATTATTGAACCAAATGTTTGATTTTAAATTTTTTTATTCAAATATTTAAAAGATCATATATTAATTATTGAAACAAATGATTGATTCGATGCATAAATTTAAATACGTAAATTCTATAATCACAAAAAGTTAAATTACATATTGTTGGTCTAATTAATAAGGATTGCTATCTTAATATAAATATTTTGATTTTGAATTCAATCGATAATATCTTAAATATATGATTTTTAATTATTATTTTTAAATTATTAAATATCACGTATTTTATTTTGATTTGAAAATTAAATAATTTATCTGAATTTTTCATTAAAAAAAATTGCAGATGAGATACCCTGAGCTTCAACTTCAAGCTGACCACAACTTTTTTGAGCTATCCTCATGTTCCGGGACCATGAAAATGCAAGGGAGTCCCCTCCTCAAGGGCCATGATTGTGCTGGAACGGTGGAATGTGTTTTCTTTATGACAACCCAAATGCTTGAACAAGAACTCCAAAAAAACATGCCCCACTGCTACAAGTTCTGAACCTGGAAAAATCACTCCATTGTTGAGCTTGAAACTTGCCAAGGGTGGGTCCAATTTGCATGTTAAAGACAAATTATTTCCAAAATATATGATCTGATGTCTCCAACCTAAAGCTTTTGCCAGCACAAAATGATAAAGCTGAATGATTCTGAATTGATTATATGTTATATTATATGTCATTGCAATCAAAGAAATTAATTAAATAAAAGAGATTAGATGACAAATTATTTAATATAATCAAATTCCATAATCCACCATTATCTTCCAAAAAGAAATTGCCTGAATGACAGTTCTTTTTGCATTTCTTTGCACTTTTAAGTGACAATCATTGGCTCATATAAAACCAATATCATATTGGAAAAAGATGAACAACAATATAATATTAGGTGGCTTGTTTCCAAAGGAATATACTACTTATTAAATTAAAAAGAAAAAAGAAAAGGTGTAACTAATCAAATGCTTTCTCTATTCGTGAAAATATCAGATAAATTTTATATGAAGTTTTTAAAGAAAAGTTTGTGAATGTTTTTTTTAAATTAATTTAATAAAAATTAAAAAATTTGATTGATAAATTAATAAAATTTAATATAAAAATTAATAATATATAAAAAATTATTAAAAATATTATTTATAAATTAAATTTGATAAATATTTATTCAATAATAAACATTTTATTAAAAATATTTATTTAAAAAATATATATTAAAATTTATTAAAAATTTTTAAAATTTATACACTTGATTTATGAAACAAAATTTTTTAATTTTAATTTTAATTTTTAATCGAGAATTTTAGGAATTAAAAAAAAAGGTGAGGCTGTAATGATGTTACTTTTTACCGATGTTTCAATTGATCGATAGTAAACAAGCATACGTGTTACTACTGCACAGGCCGATGCCCTAGAATTTTGATTAGCCACGTTTCTATTACATGACCCACGAGCTTACATGGTGGTCAAGTTGTTCGGCTCACCCCAACAATCGTTTCTCCGGAACTTGCTCGAACAATAATGGAAACAGTGATTTGGGATCCTAATCTATCATTGTCAAGTTCTCGATTAATTGTCCTTGAACAGAAGTTTGACGTTTCTTTTCAACATTTTCAGCTGTCTTCCTGGCTTGTTTCCAGTAAGTTCTTACTATAATTGTGTAAATAATATGAATCGTAAGATTTTTACAATGAAATTTTACTATTTGTTATCAAGTTTCCTGAATATTTACAAAATTATCGTTAATTTCCACCACCATAATTGATTTAATTAATTAAAATTTATCTATATTGATGAAAATATTTTGAGTTTAAATTTTTTTAATGATTGTTTATTAAAATTATCAGATAAGATATATATTATTTTAATTTAAAAAATTGAATAATTTATTTATTTTAAGAAAATTATTGTTAATTTCTCAATTAATTATTTTTTTATAAAATCATTATCATTAAAATTAAAATTTAATAAACCATTTACCAAAAGCAATTTTGTTTATTTGGGTGTCTCAAATACTTGGATAAAATTGAATTAAGAAATGAATTTAACAAAAGTTCACTTCCTCTCACTTAAAATGATAACATTTAGAATTAAATCAGATTTGATTAGATTTTTTACAATAATATATAATATTATAAATTTTTAAAATTTAATTTAAATTTAAATCAAATTTTTTTAAATTAATTTGATTCGAATTAAATTTTAACGATTCAATTCGATTCAATTCAATTCAATTCATCAATTTTTAAATTTCAAATTTTTTATTTTTTATATTATTTTAATAAAAATTTTAATATATTTAAATAAATGTATATATAAAATAATTGTTTTTATTTTATAAAAATTTAAAAAATATATAAATTAATAAAAATATAAATTAATTTATTTAAAATTTATTTAATTTTTATCATTTAATTCAAAATTAAATCTAAATTTAATATATATTCAACATCTAAATTTCATTTAAATCAATAAAAAAATTCAAATTAAACCAAACATTAAACTAATTTTTATTTTTTTCCAATTTTTTTCATCTTTTCTCCCAATCCTAGGCTTGAACCGACTTGAATTCAATCACGATTTTTATTCAATTTGGACTAAGCTTCAGCATTGAAAAACATAAAAGGCTATTAATCATTCACTCTCCCTTCAGTCTTCTCTGGACAATGTTGGCAATGGGCGGTGGCCGCCAGCTTACATATTTGTGGCCAAAATTAAGCCAACATAGCCACTCTGCAGCCAACCCATTGTCGTTTCTAGCAAAAACATTCCAATGGGTATTCATGTCATTTTCCATTAAACCCCAATGACAATGCCAGAAAATGATTGGTCGGTCATAATTTATTAATAACCCAAAAAATTAAATTCAATTAATTATTATAATAGCTTCAGCTTAACCCAACCTTTTTCTTATAGCCTATAAAAAACACCCTACCAAGCCCCAAGCACCCCACTAACCCAATCAAACACAGAGTTTTCAGTTTTCTTTCCTTCGTTTATAGGATTTTTTGTTTGCTGAGTCTGATAACGAGGAAAGAAGGGAAATGGAAGGCAAAGAAGAGGATGTTAGACTGGGAGCCAACAAGTTTTCAGAGAGGCAGCCAATAGGGACTGCAGCTCAGAGCCAAGATGATGGAAAGGACTACACTGAACCACCACCAGCACCACTTTTTGAGCCTAGTGAGTGGACCTCTTGGTCATTTTACAGGGCTGGGATTGCTGAGTTCATGGCTACTTTCCTTTTCTTGTATATCACAATTTTGACTGTTATGGGAGTTGTTAAGTCAAACACTAAGTGCACAACTGTTGGGATTCAAGGGATTGCTTGGGCCTTTGGTGGCATGATCTTTGCTCTTGTTTACTGCACTGCTGGAATTTCAGGTAGCTATATATATATGTGTACATATATATTTTTTCTTTTTTTTGATTGATTCCAAAGAAAATCAGAACAAGAAACAGTTTTTCCTTTTGGGTTCTTTCCAAAGAGAAAAACAGTTGGAAGAACGTGATAAAAAGTAAAAAATTCCCAAACTTAAATTCCCCAAACCTTCATATATATGCTTTCCAGGGTTTATCCTACAATCAGTACTAGTTTATATTTTACCAAAAAAAAGGTGGTATTACTTGAACTGATCATTGGGTTAATATTGATGAAATATTGGTGATGGTGGTGGATAGGTGGTCACATCAACCCTGCGGTGACATTTGGGCTGTTCCTGGCAAGAAAACTGTCCTTGACAAGGGCTATTTTCTACATGGTGATGCAGTGTTTGGGAGCCATATGCGGTGCTGGTGTGGTTAAGGGATTCATGGGGAAGAGAGAGTACGGTCGTTTGAATGGTGGAGCCAACTTTGTGGCTCATGGCTACACCAAGGGAGATGGCCTTGGTGCTGAGATTATTGGCACCTTTGTTCTTGTTTACACTGTATTCTCAGCCACTGATGCCAAGCGTAATGCCAGAGACTCTCACGTTCCAGTAAGCTCTCTTCCTCCATCACCTCCCCACAAATTATGTACATACAAATACACGTTCGCATCCGAGTATTGGATTCAGTAATTTACATATGATCGTACATGTTCACATGCGCTCTTTTGAACATTTGATTAAGTGATTCAGTAATTGATTTTTGCTCACGATTCAACATCAATCCCTTCAAAATTAATAAAATGAACCATTTATTTACTTGTTAGAATTGTAAGATGATGGTGAGTTTTGTTTTGCTAGATTTTGGCACCCTTGCCAATCGGGTTCGCGGTGTTCTTGGTGCACTTAGCCACCATCCCAATAACAGGAACCGGTATTAACCCAGCTCGTAGTCTTGGTGCCGCCATCATCTTCAACAAGGACAAGGGTTGGGATGACCACGTAAGCCTCTAAAATTTTCTCACCACTTTCACTATTATTTTTCCCCAACACTTCAGCTGACTGTGACTGATACTTATCTACTTGGTTTGGTTTGGTTTGGTTGCAGTGGATTTTCTGGGTGGGTCCATTCATTGGTGCAGCACTGGCAGCACTTTACCACCAAGTTGTGATCAGAGCCATTCCTTTCAAATCAAAGTGATCAGATCAACGGTCATGATTGTGATCTTAAGATAAACTTTGAAAAAGAAGAAAACCCCACCCACCGTTTCAGTTTGTTTCCAATTTTCTTTTGTTTGTATGCCTGTGTATTTATATGTAAGAAAATGTAAGATGCTTCAATGGGAGCCTTCTTTCCTTGTTTTTATATAAGCTAAAAAAGGGCGGTTGTTGAGGGCTACTGGGCCCATCTCAATGTTGGTGACTTGGCTGTGATTGTGAAATTTCTTTTCATAATAACAGCGACCATGCCTGCTCCATGGCTTGGATTCCAAATTACTATTATATTCACTCAGCCTGATTTGTCTCTTTCTTATATTATATTGCTTCTCTGAGGTTTGAAACTGATATGTATGACATCAATTGAGATAAGGAAGCATGTACTAGGACTATAAAAAATAGTCACTAATTTCTTTGACGTTTATCATCGTGTCATTAAAAGATGGGACAATTTTATGGTTTAAAATTTTAATAAAATTTATATATAAATTTAGTAAAAATAAAAAAATATATTTTATATTTAATTTATTGATATGAATTAATTTTTATATTTTATATTCGTTTAATATAAGATTTAAGTAAGACATTAGAAAAAGAAAGGGTTAAAACTGGATGGTTTGCAGCAGGTGCATTTTCTTCATAAAAATTAGATGAACAGGAAGTTGTAACTAATAAGGTAACAAACCAAAACAATTCATGAGCAGAGAGAATCATTTCCTTCCAGGATCAACCAGATAGCATATGCCAAAGTTTGGTTTTAGGTTCTTCTAGCACATTATTAGATGCTACCTAACCCAGTTTGTCCCAAGTCTCTACACTTTCCACTTGGCTTAGAGCAATTGTTTTCTTTGTATTTGTCTTAACAAGTCATTTTCAATATCAACAACCACTCAATACAATAAACTTTAGAGAAAGATACCAGGTCCCATGTCATAGCTCTGCCTAATCCAATATGTAGATGAGCTTAAATGACAATTCTCCTTAGCCAACTGATACTAATGTCATCAGCTTGATTCTTTTTTCCAATTAAATTGTTTTCCCAAATATTATAATATCTTGAATGACACATAATTCATAAACTTAGCTCAGGTTAGATTTCTTTTTTTATATTTTTGGATCAAAATTCTCATGTCAATAACTTTTTTATGTAGAGCTTATGTACAATGTAAGAGGAATGCATAAAATGGATGGTGTTTTAAGGGAAAATCTGGTCATGAAAATAACCAGGAGCAGTGGAGAACCTATAGCAAATCATGTAACAGTCTTAAATTTTTCTGGTACTAGGCATTTCAATTCACTGCTTTTGTCCACCATGCTCTAAATCACTGTTGACATCACTCTGAAAGTATTGGGGCCAGAAGAAATACCCAGATCAGCTATATTTAGAACTTGTTGGCAACCAGATTTTTCCGACAAGACAGATTGAACTGTCCTATAAACTATAATTGGCTGAGTTATGGCTGCCACTTTTTGCTGCATTTCAAGATTAGCCTGGTAAAAATCAACTAAAATAATTGACCAATAAAGAGAAAAAGAAAAGGCTAGATCGGATTAACACCGTATATGGCGATTTCTTAACATAGCTATTTTCTCCTTCTCCTTTGTTCATGAAGAGCATTTCCTTAGCTTCCATTGACAAATTTTTTTTCTCTAGTGGAATCTAAATGATTGGTATTTTTGGAATTGTTAGACCATATCTCTTTATTTGCTGACCTTCATCAGTCAGCCAATATATGGAGGAGAGAATAAGAGAACAAAATCATAATTCCTAAGAGTCTAAGACAATGTGAAAAGGGTTATTAAATCTGTAATCAATATGGTTATGTTTGCATGTTGCCTATTTCGGATATAGTGAAAAATTGGAAACCATGTTGGAGGAACATGGATTTAATTATCCTACAATTTGTTCTTCATTCCAACATCACGAACCGGCTCTCGAGATCATGATTTTTCAAGAATCAAAAACAAAGATTTATAGAAACTGAGAAAGATGTACAAAGCCAAAGACGTGTGAACTGTCGAACTGTTGATATAATATTCGACTCTTAATTTTAGTAGTTATGTTTGCCAGACATTTCTTCTTATTCCTAGGCAAAGTAATAATAGAACTATATATGTTTATCAGTTTGATTCCATTGCCATATTATCTTCTTCAATATTTCCTGAATGATACATTGGCTGAGGTCAAATTTTTTTCTTTTTCAGTTCAAGAACAATACCAACTCCACTGGTTTCATTTCCTTGCTTGGAATCCTTAAGTACAAGAATATCTATGACCTTACCATATAACTTGTCCATCACCTCTTCTCCAGACTGGTGTGAAATCATGGGCTCTGTGAAGGCTCTGAGGTTTCTAGCTCTAGCTTCTGGTCTCGACCATGTACTTCCACGCTCCGCCACAATTGTGAAAGAACCTTTCTTGTCCACTATATCTTGAGCTTCTTCTTGGGAGGGAATGTAGTACGGTACATTGAATGAGTCTAATTTCTCTTCATTAATCACTCCCTGTTGATCAAGAAATTAAGAGAAAGGGATTCGAATTCACCCTTTGGACGGGAAATACACGCAACGACTATTGAATCAAATGCTCAGATGCATTGATTTTGAGCTTTAGCTAATATCATTTTTGATAAATTACTTGGACTCCGGAGTAAGCGTTGAACATCATCCTATATATATATATATATATATATATATTGTTAATTAGCAATCTAACCATTAAATGGATATAGAAAAGAAAAGGGAAAAAGTTGAAAATTTGGCATTTTACCTGTGAAACCAGGTAGGATATGGCCTCAGCTAAAATTTCCCAAGTGTAGCAGCTCTCTTTGAGTGTGGGATCTGCGGATTTCCTTCCATGAAATATCAAGACCATGCGGCCATCAGAAACCATCTCTGGAGATCGACCTTTCAAGAATAAAAGAAAGTCTTCTTGAAACTGAGAAAGGTATGCCTCTCTCACTCCAGGAGGGCTGGTTTTTGATATGTAAATCTTCCCCTTGTTTAGTGGTAACCCTCCTTCATTTGTCAATTTTGGTACCTTTAAATTCGTTTGAAGTAATCGATGTGAGTTTGACATGAATCATGGCAAAATTAGTACTACCTAAATAATGCAATTTCAATTTGCATCGAAGATATACACTCAAATATTTGTTTCAATGATTCGTGTACATATAACATTTCTTTGAAGATATACTTTTTGTTGTTATGATCATATTAATTAATTAAATTGAAATCAGTATTATAAGTAGGGCATTTTCAATATGCATTGAAGATCTCTTTCATGATATCTTTGACAAGTATATAGGATGTGCAATGAGTATTAATTTAAATTAAAAAGAATCAAAATATATATTCACCTTAGAGAGCCAGTTTACACCATATGAGGAATGAACAAGATGCATGGAATTCCTAGGGTAAAGCCTGCCATGAAAGGAACCAGGAGCACCCATAGCAAACCATGGAACATTCTTAAATTTCTCTTCAATCACAGTTAACCCTTTGAACAGTATGTTAACATCATTCCTCACCAAATCATTCAGGTAAAACTGGATTTCTGGGATTTCACATCCCAATTTACTGCAACTTTTCACCGTGCTCTCAATCTCCGTTGACATCACTGTAAAAGTTTTGAGATCAAATTAACCGTCCTTTTTAAAATATGGAGATGTAGTTGCCTGAAGACAGGAAGCACAATGAAATAAAGAAATTCAAGTTGCTTTTTCTCCCTTTTTGGCTAGTCATGAGTTGTCTCTCCCGAATCTCAATTTGGTGGCTTTATTGTCTCCCAGTTTGTGTTCCCACTCCCTTAAAAACAGGTTTATTTGGCTTTCCCCCAACCGTTTTATTGACTGACAAATGTACTGATCATTGGCTCTAGTATCTCTGTCAGTAGTTTCGATCACAACCCTCCAAGGAGGATCCAAAAAAATATGTGAACTCTGACTTTCACTTGCTTCAATCATCCTTTGTAAGTCATGAAAAAAATTATTAAGTTCTTACATCTGATAGATTCTGAATTGATTATATGTTATATTACATGTCATTGCAATCAAAGGAATTAATTAAACAAAAGAGATTAGATGACAGAAATTAATTAATATTATCAAATTCCATGAATCGACCACTATCTTCCAAAAAGAACTTTGCCTGGATGACAGTTTCTTTTTGCATTTTCTTTGCACTTTTAAGGGATAGTCATTGGCTCATATAAAACCAATATCATATTAGAAAAAGATGAACAACAATATAAATTAGGTGGTTTGTTTCTAAAGAAATATATTACTTATTATATTAAAGAAAAGGAGTAACTAACGGCATGCTTTCTCTATGGTTGAAAATGTGAAGCTCTAGAGTACTCGTATTTGAACTTAATCTACTTCACCTCTCCATTCCCTGGAATTTTTGTTAGCCACGTTTCTAGTAGCAGAGCCACCAGCTAAACATGGTGGTCAAGTTTTTCAAATCAGACAAAAAATTGGTCCTCCTCTCATGGAACTTCATGGAACAATAATGGAAATTGTGGTTTTAATCATTGTGAAGTTCTCAATTAGTTGTTCTTCGAACAGATGTTTAATGTTACTTTTTAACACATTTTCATTCGTCTTCTCCGATTGTTCGAACAAATTCTTACTTTTAATTCTGTAAATAATTATATGAATTATAAAATTTTTACAATGAAATTTTACTAATTATTGTCAAATTCCGCAATTATTTATAAAATTATTATCTAAGTTCTTAATTAATCGTTTTTTTAATTTAAATTTTGATTTATTAAAATTAAAAATTCATCGTATTATAGTTGATGAAAGTGAAAATTTGTCTATATGCATATCTGATTACTCAGAAAAACTGAATCATGTAAGAAATTAACATAAGAATAGCTCACTTAAACTACAGAGTAAGTGAGTGCATGTAACCTCATCCAAAGCAAGATGCTTGAACATACTTGAATTCTGTCACGATTTTTAGTCAAATTTGGCAGCCTCCTCGTTGTCGTTTCTGGCAAAAACATTCCAATGGTTATTCATATCATTTTGCATTAAACCCCGATGAAAAATGACAGAAAATGATTTGTCGGTCATAATTCATTAATAACCCAAAAATAAAATTCAATTAATTACTATACCCGCTTTTGCTTAACCCTATCACTTTCTCGTCAACTTATCCCGTAAAATACGGCAAAGACTTATAGGAAGTAGTTCAAGTGAAGGTTTTGATATTTTTTAGTAAAAATGATTAATTAAAAAATTAAAAATTAAAAATTTTTATTACATAAATTAAATGTATAAAATTTTAAAAAATTTTGTTATATATTTTTAAATAGATATATTTAATAAAAATATTGATATAATTTTTATTATTTAATAAAAATCGATCAAATTTAAATTATAAATAATTTTTTATATTAAATTTTATTAATTTATTGATTTAAATTTTTTATTAAAATTTTTCTTACATCATTTTAAAGAAAGAATTCCATAATCTTCAATTAAAAAACTTCATGAAAGTTTTTGTCTGTTAAAAACACCCAACCAAGCCCCAAACACCCCACTAACCCAAACAAACACACAATTTTCAGTTTTCTTTCTTTGATTTATAGTTTTTTTTTTTTTTTTTTTGGTTTTCTGAGTCTGATAAAGAGAAGAGAAATGGAAGGCAAAGAAGAGGATGTTAGATTGGGAGCCAACAAGTTTTCAGAGACGCAGCCAATTATGACTGCAGCTCAGAGCCAAGATGATGGAAAGGACTACATTGAACCACCACCAGCACCACCTTTTTGGCGTAGTGAGTTGACCTCTTGGTCATTTTACCGGGCTGGGATTGCTGAGTTCGTGGCTACTTTCCTTTACTTGTATATCTCCATTTTGACTATTATGGTATTTGTCAAGGAAAACAATAGGTGCCAAACTGTTGGGATTCAGGGGATTGCTTGGGTCTTTGGTGGCATGATCTTTGCTCTTGTTTACTGCACTGCTGGAATTTCAGGTAACTATAAATATACATACATACATACATATATATATATTTTTTTTCTTTTCCTCGTTTGATTCTCAAGAAAATCAGAACAAGAAACAGTTTTTCCTTTTGGGTTATTTCCAAAGAGAAAAACAGTAGGAAGAAATTACTGATAAAAAGTAAAAGCTTTCCTGAACTTGAATTCCCCAACTCATCATATATATGCTTGCCAGGGTTTATCCTACAATCAGTACTAGTTTATGTTTACCTAAAAAAGTAATATTACTTGAACTGGACATTGGATTAATGTTGATGAATATTGGTGATGGTGGTGGATAGGTGGTCACATCAACCCTGCGGTGACATTTGGGCTGTTCTTGGCAAGGAAACTATCTGTGACAAGGGCTATTTTTTACATGGTGATGCAGTGTTTGGGAGCCATATGCGGTGCTGCTGTGGTTAAGGGATTCATGGGGAAACAGTTTGTTCGTTTGGGTGGTGGAATCAACTCTGTGTCTTATGGCTACACCACGGGAGAAGGCCTTGGTGCTGAGATTATTGGCACCTTTGTTCTTGTTTACACTGTCTTCTCAGCCACAGATGCCAAGCGTAATGCCAGAGACTCTTACGTCCCAGTAAGTTCTCTACCTCGATCACCTCCCAACAATTATCTACTTAGATATACATGTTCGCATCCGAGTATTGGATTCAGTAATTTACATATGATCGTACATGTTCACATGCGATCTTTTGAACATCTGATTCAGTACTTCTGTAATTGATGCATGATTTTTGCTCACGCTTCCATATCAATCCCTTCAAAATTTATCAAATGAATCATTGAATTATTTGTTAGAATTGTAAGATGAAATTAGTAAATGGGGTGATTTTTGTGTTGCTAGATTTTGGCACCCTTGCCAATTGGGTTCGCAGTGTTCTTGGTGCACTTAGCCAACATCCCAATAACAGGAACCGGAATTAACCCAGCTCGAAGTCTTGCTACAGCCATCATCTACAACAATTACTGGGGCTGGGATGACCAAGTAAGCCTCCGAAATTTTCTCACCACTTTCACTATTATTTTTCCCCAACACTTTGGCTGACTGTGACTGATAATTATCTACTTTGGTTTGGTTTGGTTGCAGTGGATTTTCTTGGCTGGTCCATTCATTGGTGCAACATTGGCAGCACTTTACCATGAAGTTGTGATCAGACCCATTCCTTTCAAATCAACCTTAATTTCTAAATTATTCTTGTTAATATATAAACAGAGAGGGTAGAAATCAGATTAAGACCGTATAGTCTGAGCTCTTAATATAGCTATTTTCTCCATCCCTTCTGTTCATGTACAGCATTTCCTTCACCTCCATTGATAATTTTTCTCTGCCTTGGAATCTAAAGTGGGTCCTGTATTCTGGGAAATTTTCAAGGACTTTCAATTATTTTGCACGTAACTTTATTGTGTGGATGGATATAATCTATTATTAATATTCCATTTTTATCACCATCTCGCTTTATTTTACCACAGTTGTACAAAGAACAAGCAACTTATTTGGTGTCACTCTCGGTTAAAAGATTTTAAGGTTATAGATTTTTCATATTTAAATAGTAGGAATCTACTTCTATTACTAATAATTTTGCATTTTTTTTAAATTACAATTTTTAAAGGGATAGTCATTGGCTCATATAAACCAATATCATATTGGCAAAAGATGAACAACAATATAAATTAGGTGGCTTGTTTCTAAAGAATTATAGTACTTATTATTTTGAAGAAAAGGAGTAACTAACCACATGCTTTCTCTATACATGAAAATGTGAAGCTCTAAAGTACTCGTATTTGAATTTAATCTACTTCAACTCCTCATGCCCTGGAATTTTTGTTAGCCACGATTCTAGTAACATGGTGGTCAAGTTTTTCAAATCAGACGAAAACTTGGTCCTCCTCTTATGGAACTTGCTGGAACAATAATGGAAACTGGGTTTTAATCATTGTCAAGTTCTCAATTAGTTGTCCTTAGAACAGATGTTTGATGTTTCTTTTGAACATATTTTCATCCGTCTTCCCTGGTTGTTCGACTTGGAGCAAATTCTTATAATTCTGTAAAAAATTGTCTGAATTATAAAATTTTTACAATAAAATTCTACTGATTGTTGTCAAATTCAGCGATTATTTATAGAATTATTATCTAAGTTCTTAATTAATTGTTCCTCTTTAATTTGAACTATGGTTATTAAAATTAAAAATTCTACCATATGCATGTCTGATTACTCAAAAAAACTCAATTATGTAAGAAATTAACATAAGAATAGCTCACTTAAACTACAGAATAAGCGAGTGCATATAATTTCCTCCAAATCAAGCTGACTTGAACCTACTTAATAAATTAAAAATTTTTGTTACATAAATTAAGTCTGTAAAATTTGAAAAAATTTTAATAAATTTTGTAATATACTTTTGAATAAATATATTTACTAAAAATATTGATAGAATTTTTATTGTTAAATAAGTATGGATTAAATTTAAATTATAAATAATTTTTTTATTATTATTTATCTTTACATTGAATTCTATCAATTTATTAGTTTAGATTTTTTATTAAAATTTTTATTAAATAATTTTATGAAATCAAATAACTCATTCGATAAAAAATTTAATGTTTAATTCAATATATAAATAAGCTCCAACATATAGATGAGCTTAAATGACATTTTTCCTTTGCCAAACTGATACTAATGTCATCAGTTTGATTCGTTTTTCCAATTAAATTGTTTTCCAAAATATTATACTATCTTGAATGACACATAATTCATAAACTTAGCTCAGGTCAGATTTCGTTTTTTATATTTTTTGATCTAAATAAGAGCCAATGTACACTGTAAGAGGAATGCACAAAATTGATGGTGTTTTGAGGGAAAACCTGGTCATGAAAATAACCAGGAGCACCATAGCAAAGCATGTAACATTCTTAAATTTTTCTGGTACAAGGCATTTCAGTTCACTGCATTTGTCCACCATGCTCTGAATCACTGTAAAAATATTGGGTCCAGAAGGAAAACTCAAATCAGCTACATTTAGAACTTGTTGGCAACAAGATTTTTCTGCTAAGACAGAGAACTGTCCTATAAACTATAATGATTTGAGTTATGGCTGTCACCTCTTGCTGCATTTCAAGATTAGCCTGGTTAAAATCAACCAAAATAATTGGCCAATAAAGAGAAAAAGAAAAGGCTAGACCAGATTAACACCGTATATCGCGATTTCTTAACATAGCTATATTCTCCTTCTCCTTTGTTCATAGAGTGCATTTCCTTCACATTCATTGACAATTTTTTTTTCTCTAGTGGAATCTAAATGATTGGTATTTTTGGAATTGTTGGACCATATCTCTTTATTTGCTGATCTTCATCAATCAGCCGCTATATATAGGAGAGAATAAAAGAACAAATCATAGTTCCTAAAGGAGTCTAAGACAATATCATTCTAGCATTTTTGTTCTTCATTCCATACAAGAATCTGAAAAGGGTTATTAAATCTCCAATCAATATGATTATGTCTTCATATTGCCCATTTCTGATATAGTGCAAAATTGGAAACCATATTGGGGGAACATGGATTTAATCATCGTATAATTTGTTCTTCATTCCAACATCAGGTACCGGCTCTCGAGATCATGATTTATCAAGAATCAAAAACAAAGATTTCTAGAAATTGAGAAAGATGTGCAAAACCAACAGCCGTGCGTACTGTTGATATAGTATTCGATTCTTAGTATTAGTAGTTAAGTTTGCCAGAAATTTCTCCTTATTACTAGGCAAAGTAATAATAAAACTATATTATCAGTTCGATTCCTTTACCATATTATTTTCTTCAATATTTACTGAAGATTACATTAGCTGATGTCAAATTTTTTTCTTTTTAAGTTCAAGAACAATACTAACTCCACTGCTTTCATTTCCCTGCTTGGAATCCTCAAGTACTAGAATATCTGTGACCTTACCATATAACTTGTCCATCACCTCTTCTCCAAATTGGTGTGAAATCATGGGCTCCGTGAAGGCTCTGAGGCTTCTAGCTCTAGCTTCTGGTCTCGACCATGTACTTCCACGCTCCACCACAATTGTGTCTATAAACTCTATTGTGAAAGAACCTTCCTTGTCCACTATATCTTGAGCTTCTTCTTGGGAGGGAATGTAGTATGGTACATTGAAGGAGTCTAATTTCTCTTCATTAATCACTCCCTGATGGCCAAGAAATTAAGAGAAAGAGATTCGAATTCACCCTTTGGACGGGAAATACATGCAACTACTATTGAATCAAATGCTGAGATGCATTGATTTTGAACTTTAGCTAACAGCATTTTTGATAAATTACTCGGACTCAAGAGACAGTGTTGAACATCATCCTATATATATCTTGTTAATTAGTAACTTAACCATTAAATGAACATAGAAAAGAAAAGTAAAAAAGGTGTAAATTTGGCGTTTCACCTGTGAAACCAGGTAGGATATGGTCTCAGCTAAAATTTCCCAAGTGTAGCAGCTCTCTCTGAGTGTGGGATCTGCGGATTTCCTTCCATGAAATATCAAGACCATGCGGCCATCAGGAACCATTTCTGGAGATCGACATTTCAAGAATAAAAGAAAGTCTTCTTGAAACTGAGAAAGGTATGCCTCTCTCACTCCAGGTGGGCTGGTTTTTGATATGTAAATCTTCCCTTTGTTTAGTGGTAACCCTCCTTCATTTGTCAATTTTGGTACCTTTAAATTCGTTTGAAGTAATCAATGTGAGTTCGATATGAATCATGCCAAAATTTGTACCATAAAAATAATGCAATTTTAATTTATATCGAAGATATACATTCAAATATTTGCTTCAATGATTCGTGTACATATAACTGTTTTTCGAAAGTATACCTTTTGTTGTTATGATCAGATTAATTAATTAAATTGAAATCAGTACTATAGGTAGGGCATTTTCAATATGCATTGAAGATATCTTTCATGGTATCTTTTACAAGAATATAGGATGTGCCATGAGTATTAATTTAAATTTAAAAAGAATCAAAATATATATTCACCTTAGAGAGCCAATGTACACCATATAAGGAATGAACAAGATGCATGGAATTCCTAGGGAAAAGCCTGCCATGAAAGGAACCAGGAGCACCCATAGCAAACCATGGAACATTCTTAAATATCTCTTCAATCACAGTCAACCCTTTGAACAGTGTGTTAAAATCATTCCCCACCAAATCATTCAGGTAGAACTGGATTTCTGGGATTTCACGTCCCAATTCACTGCAACTTTTCACTGTGCTCTCAATCACCGTTGACATCACCGTAAAAGTGTTGGGGCCTGAAGAACATCCCAAATCAGCTACGTTGAGAACTTCAAGCGGTGGGTTTGAACAATTTTCTCTGAAGAAAGATTGAACTGCCCCAGAAACCATTGGCTGAGTTGCAGCTGCCACTTTTTGCTGAAATATTTAAAGACAATTCAATCAATTAACTTGGTTAAATCAAGCTTAATTTCTAAATTATTCTTGTAAAAAAAACGATAATATATAATAAAAGAGATGGTAGAGATCAGATTAAGACCATATATCCTGAGCTCTTAACATAGCTATTTTCTCCATCCCCTTTGTTCATGAACAGGATTTCCTTCACCTCCATTGACAATTTTTCTCTGCTTTGGAATCTAAAGTGAGTGCTGTATTCTTGGAAATTTTCAACTAATTTAAGTTATTTTGTACCTAACTTTATCGTGTGGAATGCAATTTATTATTAATATTCCATTTCTGTCACCATCTGCCTTTCTTTTACTACAGTTGTACAGAGAACCTCGCTACTGAGGCCAACATGTGGAGAAAATTTTTCTAAGAACTAGCATCTTATCAATTTATTTGGTGTAACTTTCAGTTAAAGATTTTATGATATATATATTATATTTATATAGGAATTTACTTACATTAACGATAGTTTTATATATTTTTTAATTTTTACATCAAAATTAATTCTATAATTAATTTGAATCAAAATAATATTTTTAATCTTAATCATTTTAACTCAAAAATAAAACAAAAATTACGACAAACATTTATTATAAATGGATCATTTCTTATTATGTATATGTATATACACAATACAATGGGTGAAAAAATTTGCTTTGAAAAAAAGAAATTAGTTATAGTGAGGTTTTTTAATGAAAGTGGATGGTTGTTTATATAAAAAAAAATTCGTAATTTATTTTTAAAAAATATATTATATAAAAATTTTAAAGACATAAATATTCTTCATTGAATATTTGATATTATTTATTTATTTATCAATTTCTAATTGAATTCATGTCACTTGCCTTCTCACACCAAACCGAATCAAGAATTTTGTTAAAAGTGAATTAAACTTGAGAAATTCAAATCAAGAGTACTGTCTATCACTTTTTAACTTTGTTATAACCGATATAATTAGGGTATATTTAGATGAATGATAACATTGATTTAAGTTAAATTAAAAAAAATTATTATTATTTTAATTATAATTGAAAAAAAATTATTGTAATTACAATAAAAAATTTAATAAAAATTTAATATTAAACTAATCTCATTAAAATTAATATTTAATTTTAATTGATAATTATTAAAACTTAAAATATATTTTATTGAAAATGCAATTCCATCCAAATTCAAACTTATTCCACAACAACACTTTCTTTTTGTCCTTTTTATTAAGTATTTTCCAATACTTGAGGTAAATAAATCAGGGCACTCGCTTGGAATCAATAATATCTTTCGATTGATATCTTTTGGGAGAAGTGAAAAACATTTACACGAAAAGATGTTTCCCCTTATAAAATATTGTCACAAGCTGCCTCTTTTTCAAAAAGATTATCATTTTTTTCCTTTTTCTCAAAAGAGAAAGGAGCAAAATTCCAAATGAGGGAAATGAAAGGAGAGTAATTGGACTTTTCTCCATGTAAACAAATATTTACCAAAAAGGAAATAGAAATCTTTATATTTATTAAGAAGGAATCACAAATACAATTTTACCCTTTATATTTACAAATTTCATTAATGTTGGAGTGAGAGAAATGGGCCAGATTTGGGTCCGAGATGGGTCATAGAAACAGACCTAAATTAGCCCTGAGATGGGTAGTATAGTAATATTTGGTCCACAGAAACGAGCCTGAAATGGACCAGATGGGTAATATTCGGCCCAGAAAATAAACTCATAAAATTCCAATTATCGCCCCCAAAACCAAAACCCTAACTGTCTTTCTCTCTTTTCAGTTCATTCACTCTCTGAAACCAAAAGTACAAGATCGGAAGAGAGAAGATGGCGGCCAGCGAGCACACCGTTTTGCAGTTCAATTCGCCGTCGACGGCGAGCCTATCGGCGAAGGTTCACCCTCTCGTCATATTTAACATCGCTGATTGCTACGTCAGGCGTCCCGACCAAGCTGATCGCGTCATCGGAACGCTCCTCGGCTCCGTCCTCCCTGACGGCACCGTCGATATCCGTAACTCGTATGCCGTTCCTCACACCGAATCCTCCGAACAGGTCTCCGAATATTTATCTCCAAATGTTATATTGTTTTCTTAATATTATTTTTTTAGTTTGAGATCTGCTTGGTTTATCATTAAATCTGGATCCTTTATCTGCTTTATCTGTTTGGTTTTAAAAGACAAATTTGTATAAAGTGAAGAAGTAATTAAGTCTTACCATTGTCTGACTGAAGAAGATGAAATCTTTTATGTTCAGTGCTTTCTAATTTTGATTCATATTCATGTTATTCATTAATGACTTAAACAAGTTGACTTTTTAAGTGATGTGCTCTGAAGTGTGCTCTGAAATGTGCTAAGTAATACTAAAGATGACATTTTTATTGTAGGCTTACAGTAGTTGAGTGTTTTTGGTAATTAGTTTTCTAATTGTTCAATTTGGAATGGCTGCAGGTTGCTTTGGATATTGAATACCATCATAATATGTTAGTCTCCCATCAAAAAGTGAACCCAAAAGAAGTCATTGTTGGATGGTAATTCTCATCTCCCTACCAAGTTTTACTGTTTTTCTTGGTAAAGAAAGAGGAAATAGTTGTTTTAGCTCTTCAGTTCCGTATGTTCTTTTTAGACTGACACAGTTGAATTAATTGTCGGCTAAATGCGACTTTGTTATTTCCGTAATAGCACCAACATAGCCATTAATTCTGTGTTACTTTGCAGGTATTCTACTGGGCTTGGTGTCACAGGTGGTAGTGCATTGATCCATGATTTTTATTCTAGGGAAGTACCTAACCCTGTTCATTTGACGGTGGATACGGGATTTAGGAATGGAGAGGGTACCATAAAGGCTTATGTTTCTGTCAATTTAGCTCTTGGAGACCGACAACTTGCTGCTCAATTTCAAGAAATTCCTCTTGATTTGCGTATGGTTGAAGCTGAGCGAGTCGGATGTATGTATACACTTAAACTATATTAGATACTATCTTGTTTCCACTGAGACATTGTCTATTCTCTCTCTCTCTCTCTCTCTCTCTCTCTCTCTAAAAACACACACGTGTGTGCGTGTACACTTGAACACATATTCTCACCCTGGTTCTATGCCTTTGTAAGAAGGTTGGTAGCTGTAATAGGCAGAGTAATGCCTTGAGATCAGTTAGCTCCTGGATGATTTGTATTTATTATAAATCCTTGGGTGGTTGGTGGGTGGAGGGAGGGCTTCAAAGTTGGGTAATTATGGATTATGTTTATGGTCCCCTTACCTGGTTGCACTATAGCATTGCTTCTGATCTTGTCTGTGTTGCTTAGGGTTTTGTCTAAAATCTTCTCAGTGGGGGTGTTTCTTGAATAGACTATCTGCCGTTATGGTGTTTCTGATCTGTTCTGTGTTGCTTAGGGTTTTGTCTAAACCCCCTCTTACATTTATTCTAGAGCTCTTCTTGTCATGAGGAATGTTTATACGTTAGTTGTTAATTGTTCTCCCTGCTTGTTTTATCATCTTTTTCTCATGGTGACCACGTATCATAAATCTAGAGGCAATGTAACTGAGAAGATTATGCTTTGATACAATCTAATTAAAGAAATATTTTGTAAAAACAGTTGACATCCTCAAGACAACAGCCGTTGACAAATTGCCAAATGATTTGGAAGGAATGGAAGTCACAATGGAAAGACTATTGGCTTTGATAGATGATGTCTACAAATATGTTGATGATGTTGTGGTATGTAATTTTGCTGTATCTTTATTTTATTCTCAACTGCTGCCATATATAACATTTGTTTTCATTCTCAGGAAGGGCGTGTTCCTGCAGATAACAGCATAGGTAGATTTATAGCAGATACGGTAGCATCCTTACCTAAACTATCTCCTCAAGCTTTTGATAAGCTTGTGAATGATAGTCTGCAGGTAAGATTAAAAGTTTAATTTATTTCCGAGTATCATAACAATTGTTTAAAAGCTAGCATTGAAATAAACTTTAGGTGTTTTGCTGGTAAAATCTTTGGTTCTCCTTCCAAGTAAATTTCTTGTGCTGTTGGTCAACGGTCCCAACCTCTAGATATTAATTGATGTTTTTCTTTGAAGTATTTCTGGATCGTTACATAAAACGTCAGGCTCTAATTCTTGCTTTTCTTGCCTCATGCAGGATCAATTGCTGTTACTATACTTGTCAAGCATTACCAGGACACAATTGGGCTTAGCAGAAAGGTTGAATACAGCTGCTCAGATCCTGTAACTTCTGTCCAAGCAATAAATTTCTGCTTCTAGTCTATCATACTCTGTGGGTTGTGTCCATTTTCTCTGAGAAGGTTGTGTAATTCTTATTCGTGGTTTTCAGTCGATAAAATTGCCCCCATAATTGCCAGGTTACTTCTCTTAAACAATATCCTTCTTGAGTGAGGTTGAATTAAATTTTGTTTTATAATTCCTTCCCTGTTCTTTAGAAATCTTATGTGTTGTTTTATCTATAAATGGAACCATCCTGAATTGAGAATCCTGTCTTTTTAACTTCTCAAGGCAAATTAAAGGTAGCCAATATGCAATACTAGCTGGAGTGAGACTCAGGCTTTGGATAGCTTTGGATATGAAGTTTCAAGTTCAGTTTTGGTTTGGCCCGTAAATTTATTTTTTATTTGATTTTAATTTAGACGTATATCTAAAAATATCAAACTATTATATAAAAAAAAATCCTAAAATTTTAAAGTAGTTTTCTACTTTTCGAGCCTGAATGGATTGGGTCAGGCTTTGGGTATATAGAAGAGTGCTTCCCTGTGGAAATTGTGCTTGCCCGATATTTTTAATCGGTAATTGGGTCCGAATGGAATTCGAGGTTAAAGTATGAAGAACGTGCAATTGAATGGCATCTAAGTCCTTCTCAATTATATTGCCGTTGGGAGTAGCTTTTGTGATCAAAAATTGGTTTCCATCCAAACGTAATATTAAACAACAAACAAAAAAAAAAAAGAATGGTTTTTCAATTTAAAAATTTGGTATTTCAACTAAAGCAAAAAAAATAAATTTGAGAGGTACACAAAGAAAAAGTACATTTGGGATAAAAAATCATTTTATTATTTTATTATTTTTAATTTTATATGTATTTTTTTAGACATATCAATTGCTATCAATACTTTTTACAATAATATCAATTACTTAAAATTTATATTCATCTTTTCACATCACACTGTTTAAACTTTTTTTTTAACCCAAATTTTTTTCAATCCTAATAGCAATACTAAACTAAAATCTTTTACTAATTTTCAACAGTTCAGACTAAGTGCTATTATTATTATTATTATTATTATTATTATTATTATTATTCTCTATTAATAGATCACATAGTAATTGACAAAATATTTAATTATCCAAATCATAAAGAAAATACTGTTTGTCTGTTTTTTTTTTAATCATTTCAAGTGACAATGATTTGTTAAAGCGATTATAATATCTCATTAATAAATTACTTGATCATGCCATCACATTTGCATTCATCCAACAACTACATTTTATGTCTAGGAATACGAGTATTTGAGTGGTCGGGCCAATAGAACTATATTTGCTGAATTATAGATCGTAAGTAGTTTCAATACCTAAAAATGGTAGTGGGATTGATCCAAATTGATTCAAAAACATACTTTTGAAAATTTTGATTCATATTTCACATAACGTAATTAATCATCTCAAGTGAAACCCCTCCATTAAACAAGGCCTCGAGCTGAAAACCATGAGGATTGTCTTGTGATTGGTCATCATCAACAATCCATAGTAGCCTAAGTATGTCCCCCAATCACTGTCATGTCCAGCGTTTTAAGCTGACATTGCTCTTACAATGCTTACTTACAAACTATTCGAATTCGATTCGAATAAAATTCGAATTCAGTTTGATTATTATTGAGTTGAGCTCAAACTTTAGTAATTCAACTTATTGATTAAGTCGAGTTCAAATATTTTTATATCTGACTTGAATAATTCGTGAAGTTAATTGAGCTTTTATATTTTAATATATTTTAATTATTTTAATTAATAAAATATTCTGAATTTGAGCTCAAGCACAAATAATGAGAATTTTTGTCGAATATAAAAATTAAACTTATTTTTATATATTAATCGAACCTAATTGGACAAACTTAAATAGCTCAATTTATATCTCAAATCGAGTTCAAACTAAAAAAATAAAATTAGATTGAGTTCGAACCGAATTTTAAATTTCGAATTTCGAATAAAGATTGAATTTAAACTTAATACTATATCAACCTAAACTCAATCAATTACATTTCCATTTCCTATTATTGGACCTAAAGAAGATGTGTTTTACCCCTGATTACCCTGCCTGTTATCAGATAATCATCCCCCCTTTTACAATACAGCTTCTTCTCCACTCAGTCACTCACTCTCTCTGCATTAGTGGGAATTCATGTATTAACCGACAAAGGTAGGTGGAGACGAGAAAAAGCGCCAACAGAAAGGAGTCAGGAAACTTGGGTGCGGCCTAGATTTCACGCCTGCCTTATTTTTCTCTTTCTGTTTCTAATTAAATGTATTATAATCTTTAAGACTGAGATAGACCCTTAGCTTAGCTTAGCTTTTCCTCGTTAGTTTCTCACTGATTAACATTTTTATTTTGCCTTTTGTCTTTGCATGTTGGATTTACTTGTCTTAGGATCTACATGGACACATCAAAACCCGACAATCATACCAGACATTTTGGCTCTTTTTCCAATCTCAGTTATCCTTTGGCCTGCTTGTGAGTTTTATTCAATAATTTTTTATATCATAAAGGAGATTTGAATTTTATTATTTGAATAAGATCGAAGATCATATATCAATTATACATTGAATCAAATGTTCAGATATTTTGTTTAAATAATTTAAAAATTATGTATTTTATCAACAATTACATGAGATGTTAATAAAATTTTAAATTTTTTATTTCAATATCGTATTTTAAAATTTGACAACAACTTCAAAAAAAGATAAAAAAAAAAAGAAAGTTTAAATTATGTTGGTGTGACATAGTGACGGCAGTGCTCAAAACATAGTCTAATAGAAGAGGTGGAAATTCAAAGAAAAGGATTAGTTCTCTAATTCCAATTATATATGCTTTTATTAAATTACTAACATGCCTGGAAGTTAGAACTCACTGCCAAGTACTAAGGGACAAATTTTTGTTCAATTTGTTTATGAAATAACTTTGGGAATTGTAGAAAAAGCACCCAACTCACAATTTTTGCCCATGTACTTCTTGACTGAATCAATCTGAGATCTGAATCTATAGCTAGACTTCTTTCAAGTTTCATCTTGATGACCATTACCGAGGCGAAGAATGAATAATTAACAAGCATTGAAAAAGCCCTAGTTTCACTTGGACCATCTTAATTTATATCAAATTGATAGTTCATTTGCCTCTTTACGAGACATCTTTGGTTTGAACGTTATGATTTTTTTTTAATATAAAAGAGATTACAATCTGAAAATAAAAGAATGAGTTGTAGGTATAGAATTTGAATTCTATAGTTGATTACATATATTTGTTGAACTAAATCCTTTGATGGTATTCTCAAACGCACCGTGTCAGTCCCGGGTTTTTCTTGACCAAAAGGAAAAACAAAGTCATTGGAGAAGTCAAATTATAAATCTTTCAATCCAGTTCACTTACAAAATAACAATAATTTGCTGTTTGAGTTTAAATTCCCATGCAATGCAAAGTCTCCAAAAGTTTTGTCATCTCCCCATTTTTCAAAATTTTTGCAGAATGACAAACCCTAAAGTACAAAGCAATCACTTTTTTTTTAGAGATTATTACTGTGTACCATCAATATCTCCTCTATCTAGAGTTGCCTAAGATCAAACTAACCTTCCTTTTTAAAATATGAAGATGAAGTTGCCTAAAGACAGGAAGCACAATGAAATAAAGAAATTCAAGTTGCTTTTTCTCCCTTTTTGGCTGGTCATGAGTTGTCTCTCCCGAATCTCAATTTGGTGGCTTTATTGTCTCCCAGTTTGCGTTCCCACTCCCTTAAAAGAAGGTTCATTTGGCTTTCCCCCAACCTTTTTTTTGACTGACAAATGTACCGATCATTGGCTCAACGTAACTCAGTATCCCTGTCAGTAGTTTCGATCACAACCCTCCAAAGCGGATCCAAACAATATGTGAACTTTGGCTTTCACTTGCTTCAGTCTTCCTTTGTCAGTCATGATAAAAAAAACTATTACGTTCTTATATCAGATAGAACAGTAGTTCCATGACTAATTTTTTTTATATATTTAAAGTATCATATTTTCGATTTGAATTTTGATGTTCAATAAGTTGAGTGGATTTTATTGAAATGGAAACATTATAATTAGGAATATCAATTGATCTTTGTGAGAAGTATTTCAAAAGTAAAATTTTGAATGCATCAAATTTATTTGAGAATCGTGTACACATAAAATTATTAGAGAAAAAATTAAGTTTTATATAAAATCTGAAAATATTTAAAAATTTGATTTGAATATCAGTTAATCTCATTTGAATGTATGAATATTGCAAATATATATTTCTTATTTTCAAAAGGAATATTGTAAATTTATTGGCAAGCACCACTTTAATTTTGATTGGTTTGCCCTTCCCTAATTAAAACAAATTTCTTACTTAGCTACTCACCATTTAAAATATTAATTATTAATTTTACAAACGTTGAAACATTATTGCATTCTTTAGCATAGATTTACCAATTAATTTAGAAGCAAATCTTGGATTATTCATATGTCGTGGTGGGTGTTGGACTATATTAGAATACTCCATTAATAAAGCAATCAGTTTCCGAAAAAATTTCATAATAAATTTCTTCGTCAAATAATTCATCAGCAAAACAAATTTGAAGAAAACTTTCATCAAGTTTTTTGATCATTTTCTTCCCACTTTTTCCTTTGTTAGGACAAGTATTTGCATAACAGTTCATTGGTAATGGCCTGCTGGTGCACTAAAAGCAGTAAGGGGTCTAGAGGTTTCATTTAGCATGATTTGCCAAAAACCTGACTTATAATCAAATTTAGAAAAATATTTAGCATTTTTTGCTAAATTAATTAAAACGTTTTTGCAAGGGATAAAATAGCCGTCAAAGCAAGATTTTGGTTTAATTTCTTGTAATTAATAACCATACGAGATTTACCTCGTTTAATCTCAGAATGGTTTCTTACCATGAATGCTGCACTAGAATGAGGGTTGGTAGTTGGTTCTATCAGACCTTTGTCAAGCAATTCTGAAATTTGAACTTCAAATTCATCTATATCCTGTTTGGTATAGATTATGGGTTTTACTCAAACAATCTCTTTTGGAGAATGAAGAGTAAGTTCACAGTATCTGGGACTGCATTCCCAAAGCTTTAATGGGTCTTCACTGAAGTTTTCCTGTAAAAATCTATAAAGCCAATGTTTTTCATTAATAGTTTTAAGTTTAGAAATATGTGTTATTTCTAGGCGAAAACCATTATCGCAAACATGTTTATGCTTGGATAA